AGAAAACATTGTGCCCAAATATTGTACCAGACAGACAGGCACAGTGAGGTGATACAAGCTTTGTAAAAAAAAAATCCAAAATATCATTCAGTGTAGCTGTTTATTTCCTTTGAGGTCCAGACAATGATCAGTTCAACCAGTAAGTCTTTCATCATTATCGGCCTAATGCTTATAGTGGCCGTAGTTCTGCTGAGCATACAGTTTCATCCCACAGTCGTTACGTTGGTCACGGGGGGTCAGGGCAGTTCAGAAGATGTCAAGATCTCGTCAGGTAAGCGCGAGAAAGATATAGCGAACGAAATATGGGTGACGGACGGATGGATGAATGAATTGATGAATTTAATGGATAAATATAAAGATTGATGGGTGTATAAATGAATGGATGGATGAATTGATTGATTAATTTAATGAATAGAATAATGAATGAATGGATAGATCAATTAAATGGAATGATATATGGTTGAATAGCTGCATGGATGAATAGATAGATGGATGGATGGATACCAATTATCATTAGTTCAAATACATGTATTTCATATGATAGTATCATTTGATTTGTTCAAATACCATGTATAATGTAAACAGGTTATTTGTTGAAATACCTCCTATTATATTACTAGTTGGTGTGTTTCGTTTGCCAGACAGTGACACAAGTGAAACTATAGGCAAAGGTGAGTCCTTTTTTTTCTACAAAGTTTAAATTAACTCCTTTCGATAATTGAATACATGATTACTCCCACACACATTCATGGATCAAGTTGAAACTTTAAGCAAATATTTTTTGTACCTACCAAAACATGAATCCATTTTTTTAAATTACCAATTAGTCAATTAATTATTGAAAATTAATTATTTTGATTGATGTTGAATAATGGAAATAACTTCTGCATTATTGAGAGGGGGAGAGTGGGGACTCGAACGTTAATTTTTTTTCCCCAAGTGGAGCGTCACTAATAAAAATAAAATTAAATATACACTGGTTGCTATGCATGCAATATTTAAGGCTTGTCTTCAAGTCCGAAGATTAAGAAAAGGTGCAGCATTGCTCACGGCTACTCAGACCCAGAAGTAACCTACATATTTTGCTACACCCAAAAGAAGTCAAAATCAATCTACACGATATCGAAGATTACATTTATCCTTTACTTCTTTTTTCTCCGAAAAAAAACATTTTTTATACATAAACTTTACATTTATGTGTAAGTAGCGTAAATAAAACAAAAGTTCACAAAAACATATTTATCTTAATCTCTTTATTTCATGTGTATTGCTAATGTTAGTTTAAGAATCATTTTATTTGCTTGTATTGTTGTTGTTGATCTAATTTCAACAAATATATTTCTTCTAGGTCCGTTAAGTCTGTTGCGCCAAAAGGGCTTTGTCACCAGTCTAGCCCACATAGACTTGGATCAGTTGAGCGAGGAAGAGCTTCTCTTCACACTGCACAGCAACGTCGACAACACGAATGTAGGTTGAATAGACAATTGTTGTTGACCTGAATCTACCCCAGTTTCATGGCTTATTGACATCTGTGTCGTGTTTAGCGTTCATTGTGGTCGACTTTTGGGTTTTTCATAAGCCTGAAATGTTCATGAAGTCTTTAAAGTACATTCTTGATAATAAAGTAAAAGTACAACCCCCCCCCCCAATTCAGACCTTCCGATCTATAGGGATGATGATGTAAAGGTTAACATGTACGATGCAATGTGGCCAGCACTACGACCAAACCACCTTTACTTTCCGCAACATAAATTCAGGTACCCATTAGAGATTAGAGATGGGTGGACTCAGGGGCGTCCTTAAAATCTAGAAATTTAAAAAAAAAATTTCCAATCCTCGGCGAGATTCAAACCCGAGACCTATCGTATTGAAAGTCCAGCCATACTGTCTCCAACATTCTTGGATATGTTTTCCTATAATTTAATATTGGTATTCGTTAATATGGTTAATGGAGACATTGAGCTGTTATTGGTGTTCACTTACCGGGGGGAATTAATACAACGGACGGTAGATATTTGTTTTGTGGTTATATTATCTGTTTACTAAGTGAATAGTTACTCTGAACAAAGTTTGCACTTTTTGCCAAAATTACTCATTTTAGAAACATCCCTGGGCCGATAATCGACAGATAAAGCAGATGCACGGCGGTGGGAGATACAACAGCACAATGCTAAAGACGTCTTTTACCTACGTTGGACGTTAAAAAGCTTTATATCACGAATTGTAAAAAGAACGGCTCTCTCTTTTAATAGCTTTTTCTATATACATTTGGAAATATCACGACCAGTTTTAAGGACCATTCATTGAAAGATTACAGTTGCCAACTACATAATTTAAAAAGAAATATTCTGCGCTACAAGCTAAAGAACTTTAAGAATTTGATGTTACAGTGCTTAAAGGTGTACACAGTTAATTGCATAACTTTGTAAACTACATTGCTAATCAACACTTTATATACACCGGATACACCAAATACAACTATTTATAGCTACAGGCAACAGTGATGTTATTGCTAATGAAATGCAAAAAGAAATGTAATTAACTGATTACTCCATTAAAACTCAAGGTATTATGCAGACGAAAAATACGCCTGGGCAAGATCGGAGACGGAGGCTGGGAAGTCTGTGACGACCCTGACGTCCGACCAAGTGACCCCTGCATCGTCTACTCCTTTGGCATCAATTACGACTTCTCCTTTGACGACGACGCTGCCAAGTTGTACGGATGTCACGTGTTCTCGTTTGACCCGAGCATGAGTAAAGAGCAGGATCAGTACGACAGGTGAGTTCAAGGTTTGACCCACACACACACATGCCCGAATGGAAGGGTCATTACGTCAGGTAACTTGAAGTAGTGACCGCCCTTTGACCGACAATAGGGCACAGAGAGATTAGTTCTACTGGGGGGGGGGGGATAACTAAAATACGGACCACTGTACAGAGGCATAGTGAAGGGGGGCACGAAGCCCCGGGCGCCACACACAGAGAGGCGCCTATACATGTTCATAGTAAATGGAGGAAGTATGCGCCAATAAAGTACCTTGCCCCGGACGCACGTTTTGCTCACTACGCCCCTGCCCTGTATCACTAAGCATGGATAAGTACGATAGGAGACCAACAGTGTCTTGACTTTGTCACAACCAAAGAGAAGTACCGTAACAAAAGTGTGATGGTTTTAGCATCCCATCATGATCAACTAGAAGCTTACGTCATCGTAAGTGAGTTTGGTTTTTAAAAAATCGAATCCTAGTTGAAATTTACTGGGAAGGAGTTGGGAGAATGAATGCGTTTCGTTGTGTGCAGGACACAACATCATCTTGCATTTTGTTATTTTGCCCCCTTCAGTTTTAAGTGAGGTCAAGATGGACATTTTCTGTTTTCGAAACCTTCTTGCCCGCACAGCAGTTTCCTCCTCTGCCAGTAAACGATACAGTTTGGTGCCAGCTGCGTGACAGTCTTATCTTATCTTATCAAATAATCTCGACAGGTCTGGTAAACCATAACGTCTTGACCTGTTTGGTGACATTACGCACAACAGCAATGTTTCTGCCCAGGGTTTCTGCAAAAGAAGATATGATGTCTAACTCAAAAAAAGTTTGCTGATGAAGATTATTATATTTTATAGATTATATTATTTTTTTTTAAACAATCTCATTTATCAGATTTTGATATTTTATTGTTTTTCTCTATAGAAATGTTTCGATGTTTGGACAATTCAAATAGTTGGTGCATGTTGAATGATTCGACTGAATAATTTATTTTGTTTCATATATTTTTGACCATCACCAAACGTCCTCTTTTTTTTTTACGAAATCGGAGTTGAAGTCACAACATACTTCAACACTAAATAATGGCCGCTGTTCGCTAAAAATTTTGTCTTCTAAGTCTATAAATAAACGCCTATCATTAGAATAAAGGGCGCGGTGGCTTCCGAACCTGGGATCCTGGGTTCGAATCTCGGTGAAGGCTGGGATTTTTAGGGCGCCCCTGAATCCACCTAACTCAAATGGGTACCTGACGTAAGTTGGGGAAAGTAAAGACGGTTGGTTGTTGTGCTGGCCACATGACACCCTGCTCTTGAACCGTTGGCCAAAGAAACATATGACCTTAACATCCTCTGCCTTATAGATCACAAGGTCTGAAAGGGGAACTATCATTAGAATAGGATTACGTTTAGTAGATTGACACATTCGCGTAAGTAGGATTTTTACCTGAATTTGCGGGGGGGGGGTGGGGGGGGGGGTAGGGTAATAATCTTTTTTTTTCTCTAATCTAACATCCATTAATTATTAAGAGCCAAATAATCGCTCTAAAAGTTGTTTGTTTGTTGTTTTTGTTTTTTTTTAACTTTTTTCTCTTGCTCTATTTTTTTAACAGATCCCCAAAAGTTCATTTTTATAAACTTGGACTTGACGGAAGAACATACGTCAACGACATAAAGTGGCCGCTGTTCACCTTCCAGGACATTCGCGCCAAATTAAATCATCAAAACAGTAGCCTCGACGTGGTCAAAATCGACATCGAACATTCCGAATGGCCGGCACTGCCGCAAATTGCGGCCTCCGGTCAGCTGGCAGACGTGAAGCAGCTTCTGCTTGAGTACCACATCAATCAACAGTCCAGAGATTACATTTTGCCGAGGCTCAAAGCTCTGCAGGAAGTGGAGAGAGCTGGCTTCCGGAAATTCTACGTTCACAAAAATCCCGCTTGCAAGTGCGACGTAAGAGGTATTCCCGTGGTGCGCACTGCATGCTATGAAGTTCATTACATGAGGCGATGAGTCTACACCAGGTTTCTACATTTATATACAGCATACTTAACATGTATGACGTCGCACACGGTATCATTTTGTGCGTACATGTTGACCTTACCAAGATTAAGTCAAATTTCTAAATTTATCCTAGTTCAACAGTACTACCAAGGGCTTGGACTCAGATCACCTTAACGACAGCCAAAAGTGCTTACACAATAACCAGGACGGTTATTTTTCAATTGGTTGATGTTTTTTTTTAAAATTAATTATACATAATAAATACAAATCATTAGGCTCTCATGCGTGTGTATGAGAATGTGATTAGGTTTGTATTATAGCTGTTGGCTTTCTTTTTTGGCTACTAAATTTTTTAAAGCAATTTCATGAACTTTTACATGCGAGCCGTTTAAATGTATTACCAAAAAATTCAAAAAACGACCACAAAAAAAAAAAAGAGTGTTGTATGTGTGTGTGTGTGTCATTTTTTGTTTATTGTAGTTCATAGATTCTTATATACGTGATACAATACGGACAATAAAGATTATTATTATTATTATTATTATTATTTAAAAAAATATGGAAATCTGCATTTTTACCAAAACAGCGCACACATGCGCGGACCCATTGGGGGGGCCGCCTCTGAGTTTGTGTGAAACACACAACTTCTTTGTAATTTTTTTTGTTTTTGGTGTTTGCGGAAAAGTTCTCGTTAGTTCAGATGCATACGATTTACTTTCAAAAGTTCTCTGCTGGGAGTAAAGTACTGGAAAAAAAAACAGGAAAAATTTACTGTATGATTTTTTTTGTCTTCTCCCTTAAGACGTACTCAGACTACGAGCGTTACACGTCGCTCAACGCACTAGGCGGCAAGATGTACCCAGAGAAACCAATCTCCAGCAATGTTTGCAACCTCTAAAAGTCTAACTAATTGATGTCCACTGCTTTTTTTTTACAAGGCTTATATCAATTCACTCTGTCTGTTAGTCTGTCTGGGAAAAAGTTTGTACACCTTTTTGTTTTACCAGACAACACAAGAATCAATAATAAAAAAAAAAGTAATTAATTAATTAACTATTAATAATTAAATATTTTGTTTGGTATCTCGAACAAGGGAAAGAAAATGTATATGACTGAAATGTTGTATAATTAGTCCCCTTTAGAGGTCACCGTCTGAGGCTTAGTAAAGCAATAGATACAATCTTTCATGTTCATACGCATCTTCGCTAGCAGAGTGGTTATCGTGTTGGCTTAAGAAGCCTGGGAAGGCTTTTGCCCACGAGTTGGAATCCAAGTCGTTCACTTTTTAAAAAATTTAATACATTCAAAAAAGTATCACCCAGATACTCTTTTCTTTCTCCCCCACCCCTTCCCAACTGGTCCAGACAAGTGAAAGGATCATAGCGTAGTGAGAAAGCTAAAAACATAAAATTGTGCTAAACAAAAACAATTGGTTGTATATATATATATACTAACCGGATATTACTTGTCGCTCTGTCACCCGCGGAAAACTCGCTCTAATAGATAGAATGACTGTGACAAATGAAATAAATCTATTTGACTTACGATCTTTTTGTATGGTTTTTATTTTTCAATTTTGCTTTCTATTATAGTGTTTGTATAGCTATGTCATTAAAACGAGAGTACTCTCGTGGGCGACGTAGTAAATAATTTTAATATATGTATATCTTTATTTTATGATAGGTATGTACATTCAAGAATTAATGGACCTCATTCAGCAATCGTAATCAAACAACATTTAGCCACGTGATTCTCTATCTCTTCTATACAAACAGGCTATCATGTGACAAGTTTTTTTTCGTTGTTTCATCAATATTATCACGTGGCTAAATGTTGTTTGTTTACCTTTGGTGAATGAGGTCCATTATTTGTGTATTATAAAATCGGTGCTGAAAAGTTTGTTCAAGCGGTTGTTTATTGTTATTGAGGTTTTTTTTTCTTCGTTGTTTTTTTCATAACGTACACATAGCTATTGTTATTGTTTTGCTTTTGGTATTTTGTTTTAGTGCAGTTGTGTGTGTGTGAATGAGTGTGTGTGTGAGTGAGTGTGTGTGAGAGTGCTTGTTCGTGATAGTGTTGCTGTTATTGTTGATGTAGTTTCTTCATTTTACGATTAAATAAAATTTCAACTTCATCTTCACCTAGTTGTCGCAGCTATCTATGTAGTTGTACAGTGGAATTATTTCTAATAGCGCCGCTTTCATCAATAAGCGATGACGTCATTTTCAGTAGTTTTATTTTGTGTACTAGCTGCTCTCCTCTTGTCGCTTCCTCATGATTTCTTACGACGTAAAAACTTTCTTGTAGATCGTTTGGTTGTTTCTCTCCATCTTGGGCTGTAGAGCCAAGCTGTAGATCTCTGGAGCTCCTGAATTAGACGTGTTCTCTATCTTTCTATATGTGACTAGATGTTTAATTTGTTAATATTTGGCGTGTTTGTTTAAGTCTAGGGGAGATTTTATTAATTTTATCCCGCTCACATATAAGATTTTGTACAGGCACACCGCAACTAACAGTAAGAACAGACCAATATTATACGCCTCTAAATAAAATAATTTAATAAGTGAAAGTTTACAAAAGATAAATGATCAAATAAAACTATAATCGAGTAATGAAATGGTGTTAATATCTAACATAACTGCTCATCATGGATTGCTGATTGGTGAGTGGTTGGAAGAGAAGAGTGTTCCTATGTCTGGCTACTTATTTTCTTAGCTGCTAGCCCGTGGGTCGTCTTCTGGCGGTCGAAGGACTGGCACTCAGAAGGGTGATTCATCCGCTGTCTTAGGACTTCGGCTCGGGATAGTCTCTATGCTGTAGGCAAGCTAGCTCTAGGGTGAGGCCGCTGCCTGTTTAGCAGTAGAGAGGGTTGGTGCTGCAGACTAAGTTGTAGTGGGACGATCTCTCAGCTGTGGTCTCTAGCTCGTAGAGAGCCGTGCTAACTCAGCACCAGTTTGTCTTCTGCAGCGAAGGTTGCTCTAATCAGTCGACAATAGGCAATAGCTATTGGGCAGTGGACAGTTTGGGCCGGGTACTGGGCAGACGATACTGGGCAGTATAAGGCACTGTGGACACTGGGCAATATGTTAAGGCCAAGGACAGTAGGCAATGCCTTCTTGCTAACAGGTATATAATTGGGGGGGGGGGGGGTAAATGTTGTGGTCTGCCCCGGTTACAGCTTTGGGTGGAGATCTGGTAGTTGTAGCAATCGGGTGTAGCAATCGTGCATAGCAATCAGGGGTAGCAACCAGGCTGGGGATAAGACAGACAATTAGGAACCTCCTAAAGGCATTGAGCAGGGATTCCCATATACCTTACAATCAATCAGATGTAGGCATTGGTATCAATCCCAATAAGGCATTTAAGACAATTAAGTATAAAATCTTAAAGCATGCATATAACTCAATAACAAAAAGAAACAAGTAAGATAACCACAATAAATGTGTCATCATACAATGTCGGATGATATTAGTCAAGATTCATCTATTGAATACGATTACGTCGATAAGTAATCAGTTATAGTAAAATGGGGAATGAGCATATTACATACTAAAGGATAAGATGAAAATAAAATACTAGGGATCGAGATACAATGATAATGGTTTGATATAATTAATCAAAATTAAACTCATCCAAGGAATTATAAGTTTACAAGTGTGTGAGACACAATAATATGTATGAGGGATATAATAGAAAAGTGAAATAATTAATTTCACATGGGCTCTGTAAGTTAAGAGCACTGTGATCTAAGTTCCTAGACAGTGCTTAGATTCACGAAAGGTTATTGTTTACATCAATCACTAAGATACAGGAATGGATGAAACATGACAAATCAAATATAATAACTATGGTTTCAAAGGTAGACAACAATAGATATAGCATCGACATAAAATAGCATAATGTACATACATAATAAAGTCATAATGTAGTGACGGGGAACGTGGTTGTGTATTAATGTGTACTCACACATTCCTATAAGATAAAATAAGTATAGTAAAATGTTTACACTCACCCGTTTGTCCCTAATGAAACCTCACTAATAAACTTCCTAACAGAGGAGACTGAATGAATTCTAGAGGGGCCTAACTTAGAATGCTTGGGTCTCTCTCTATATATAGTTGGGGCATTTTGTTTAACGGGTGGGGAAGAGAGCTATGTGATTTTCTCACATATATCGATGTACCGGAGATGTCAGGCGTCATGTCCGATTTATGGCCTGTACCGTGGGGGGGGGGGGGGGGGGGAATGGGAGTGAAAAGTTATTAAGCCGCTGCGTGTAGCGCTGGTGCCGCGACCATTGTGTGCTGTTCACCTGTACAGCGGTCAAAAATTACTAGTTAGCCCTAGAGAAGCTAGTTAATATTTTATGTCGAGATTCGTCCCGTGAGAAACAGTGCGAGGGGAGATAAATCCTATAAAAAATTAGTTATGGGTGAACAGGAAAATAATTGATAAAGTTTGCTGGGAACAACTCAAATGAACTTTTGCATGCAAGTTTCGTATCGTCACACTATAAGGTCTCGGTCTCAGTTTCAAGTTTCAGACTCAGTTTCAGTCTCAGGTTTCAGTGGTGAAATCGCAAGTCTCAGTTCTTATCTTCTTATCTTATATAATACAGACGTTACTTCAAAAAAGGTTACAGGACTGAGGTTTTTCATCTCAGGTTTTCTGTCTGATGTTTTTCAAGTTTGATTTACAAATCTGATGTTCCAGATTCTAGATTGCGGGTTGCTATATCCAGACCTGGTGGTGCTTTGTGAAGTTGTGAGCTTTGATGTTGCTATGAACTTAATGTTTATTGATTGTCGGTGCACAGTATCTTGGCTGGAAGATAGATCTACACGTATTACCAGTTGTTGTCTTGAAAGATTGTTACTGTGTGGACAATATTACTAAACCGTATATTTAAGGTGATTATTTTATTGTAATTAAGTATTTACTAGATACTTACTATAAGTATTGACTTTGCATACTATACTATATGCACTCATATTTCTTTATCATTATTACTAATCACATTTCATTGTCATTGTAATCATTAGATTAAATTCATATTTTAATTTAAATCATCATACACCTCGTTTATTAGTTTATGTACAACTGGGTGTGTGTGGTGTGACTGTCGTGCTGAACTTGGGTCTAAATGTAATACACATACAAATGTGTCCTTCAAATTGTTTTTAATAACTAAACACATTAATACATTTGTAATATGTAATAATTTCATTTATCTAAAGACCTGACAGTTTGTGCGGGCTCGTCCGGGACCCTGGAAACGACAACACCGCCAAGCAGTAACGCATTGCAAAGCGAACTTAACTTCTCGACATTCTGATGGTCATTGGTTCATTGCCTCGGTCGGCGCAGTCCCTTATTTTCGTCGCATTTAATTCACTACTTTCTCTCATTTAAAAACCTGGTCCCTAGTGCTGCTCTTCATTTATGTTCTATAATATAACATGTATTTTCACTCATTAGCGGAAAGTTATTAAAGCTTTTGAAAGAGTTTAGGGACCTCCACGAAAATATTTAACCAGGGCCCTCCACATACTTAAATCCAGAATGCCCTGATGACACATTTAAATGTTACACCTCGACACTTTTTACGTTTCTGATATAGATCTCCAGACATGCTCTAGAATACTCTAGATATAATGAGTCTCATAGTTTAACACAGACATTTTCATTTGAACTTCAGTGGAGTCCCTATATTCCAAACTTCTTTAATCCAAAAGTCCGTTTAATCCGAAACCGAAATTAGGGTATTTTAGAAATTAAAAAAACTAATAAAGTGTATTGTGTATGTGAGCTTGCGCTCCCTGAGCTAGTTTTATATATATTTTTGTGTATTCTATTTTTGCATATTATATGTAAATAAAGTTTCGTTTGTTTATTTATCCTAAGCTAAAGTTTCGTTATCTTGCTTTCATTTAGTTTAGGTTAGCTATAGCTAGTTGTCTGTTTACTTAGGCGACTCTAGCCCCTTGGTCACCATACCGAGGTGCACAGATTGAGCCCACCCAGTAGCGCTAACATCTGCCTACTGTTGGTAAATTTTAATGTTGAGCAGAAGAGAATAGGTATCTCCCACTCGCGCCTGCCTGGCCTGCTCACATTTTTGGTGTCAGAAGTGGGATCTGTGCTTGAGTGACCAGACTTATATTTTTTTTATTGGTATAGATTAGGTTTGAGTAGAAGGTTAGGCATTGATAGGCGGTAAAGATAGTGTTAGTTTAGTTTTTTTTTTGGTATTGTTATTGAGAGGTTATTAGGCTTTAGTTTTGTTGAGTAGTTACGTAGATGAACAGCGAGGCAGCAGCAGCAGCAAGAATGCAGCCGTCTCAGACAGTGATTGTGGTGCCAAGGACAGAGATGAGTATCCGGCGCTTCCATGGCGATGGTCCTGCCAGGGAAGTTGAAGAGTTCCTTCAAAGTGTTGATAGAGCCTGGAAGTCTCAACACATGGTACACCGAGAGGAAAAATGTGACTTCCTCTTTGCACATCTAGGTGAGGCAGTGAAGGCCGAACTTAGGTGTCACCCTCAGACAACAAGGGCATGTCCAGATGCCCTGGTACAAGTTCTACGTTCCACTTATGGAGAAAGGCGGAGCATCAACTGCCTCATTGGGCAGCTGTTCAGAATAAGCCAGCACCCGAATGAGTCTGTCCGCACCTACTCACACCGTCTCCTTCTTGCATTTGAAGCACTCTCAGACAGGCAGAGAGCCCTATCTGAAACTCCCTTCAGCGAGTCTATCCTGAGGGACCAGTTCGTAGAAAACCTCAGTGACAGGACCCTAAGGAGAGACCTGCGAGAGAGACTACTCGATTGGCCAGAAACCAAATTCCTGGCATTAAGAGACATGGCCATTAGGTGGGCGCAGGACGAGGATGTCGCACCGCAAGTCAATCTCACATGCAGTGA